CTTAAGAGAGCTGTTTCTCAAGCTGAATTCAAGATGGGCGGCTTTGTTAAACCCACATGGTTCTTTCTCTCTAACAATGAACAGTCTTGACAGTAGCTTAAGAGAAAAAGCAGTCCCGATAGGACCATGTAATGCACCGGCATCTAAGTTTTACTCATTTTTTTCTTCTCTTTTTAACAAAGCTTTCAAATTTTAACAATAGCTTAGGGGATAGCTTCAGTGTACACCACACATTTATTTCCTGGATGACACGCCGTAGATTTGGGTTCTGAAAGCAGTTAGAGTAAATTGTATAATTACAATTCTGCTTCACTACATCATACTTATAGATGTATTCTTAAATGCAGCTCATATAAAATTACATAGGTAGAAAGGAAGAAATCTGAACAGCCAAATGCAGAGCACAGTAAAGCTTTAGCTGTATTTAAGATAAGAAAAGAGGATTATCATGCTGGTTGAAGCTGTCACATAGATAATTGCCTGTACTAAAAATAATCATTTGGAGTTAGTTATAATCATGAAATGTCATGACAGATTAAACAGTGATGTACACAAGAAAATAAAAAACTGAAAGAAAAATACATATTCTATTCACAGAAAAGTATCTTTGACTTTTCATAGATGCAAAGAAATGCTCTCATCTTCGTCATTAAAAATGTTTTTTTTGTTCTAAAATAAGATACGTGGATAATAAAAAGAAGAGAGCCTTTAGATTACTGGATATAATATGAATGAACAGAAACAAAATCTACCGTCACTATGAAGCACAAAAGAGAAATGTTCCTTAGAGGCAAATTCTTCCTCTAGCAGTGTGAATGCCTCCTGTTAGACCCGCAGCGGTCCTACCGCAAGAGGGACATAGACTATTAGTAGGTGCTTAGCCTGGCCCAGGTGAGCATTGAGGCCAAGAAAACATTTATTCCGTGGGTTCCCCGGCTTTCTCTCTTGCTCACGGAGAGGGCTACTGCATTTTTGTTGCTGAACCCAAGTGCCTCAATACCATATAACTAGACGTATCTTACTCCATGCCACAGAACAGCACTACCCTAAATTAAACAGCTGGGCTGTTCACAGCTGCACAGAATATGACTGTGATCAAATTTACACTCAACTGAGCCTCTTCTTGATAAAAGAAAAATCTTTCTCTGCTGTTTAAAAAGACAATCATTCCTTCTAAAAGTGTGCTCCACCAACTTCGTCATGCAAATGTTCCAAAACTTTGACCTTCTCTTAGTGCAAGTAAGAAGACACAGTTTTGCAGATGATTGTTTCATAATTTGAATTAAAATCATAATTATTTGATTTAAAACAGTTATTTTACATACAAATTAAAACCCTTTTCCAAGTGCTATAAAGTTTCTCCAGATATACATTAACTTTCCATTTTCTCTCCTTCTTACACTAGTAATAACATTTTCCCTTTTAATGCAGTTAACAATTCAAAAATCTTGCTTCTGCTGAGTAAAATATCCAAGTCTAGAAATATTTTCACCAAAAGCTGCCAATAACTGTGGCCTCTCTTAGTTTAAATCCTACCTTTTAATCACTTATTTTTCATTTCTGAATACCAGCTTGTTTCATTTCCTACTACTTTCAGTTTGAATTGCTGGAAGAACCTTCTGCTGATATATATCTCTTCCGAGATATTTCAGAAGCAGTTTCTGCCTTGGTTAACATTCTATAGGGATGACATTCCATACAATATACATCTACTTATATGCTTTAGTTATTATGACAGTTTCTAAATACATAGTGTATTACCACTGTGAAAAACAAATGCTTCTGGGTAAAATTTCCTCCTCTGTTCCACATCATTAACTTTACTGGTACCCAACATAGTTCATATGCTCAAGTATTCTGGCTGTGGGATAAACTGAAATCAGCTTGCATTTGAGCATGATTTCCTCTTTGCAATATCTATACATTTGCCCATTGCCATATATGGATCATTGTCAGAAGCCAGATTGCTGCTCCCCCTATCTATGATAAAATTACTACCCATGCATTAATTATTGCTCTCACTACTGCTTTCCAGTCTTTTTCAAAGATGCTTACCACTGTATTCTATAATTTCAATATACCTTGGTTCCGTGAAGACTCTCTTCTTTATCAATGATTCAAAACCCAAATAAGACCATCTTCGGGAGGCAACTCAAACATTCCTTCTTGAATTTCAAAACCACTAATTAATTTGTTTGCCTCTCAGGATGGACTTTTCCTTATCTTTCAGTGTACATATTACTGCTGACTTGCCCTTCTTCACAACACTCTGTGCCAGCTCCATAAAAAGTAGACAGATTTTAGTTGTGCTTTTCAGCTTACTTGAAACTATCACGTTTCTCTTTTTTTTCTGGGGCATGGATTCACTTTCTTTTTCACACACAGTCTCCAAGTAAATGTAAAACAAATGTATGCCATTTGTCAGCTAACACATGCAGAAAGCATCAAGAAACAGTCATGCTCTATACATCTTTGGGGAATGTGCCTTCATTAAATATTAAAAAACAAAATCCACTGTCTTACCTGAAAGGGTCATACTCAATCACCTTGGTATGCTCAGGGTCAGCGGCTGCAAACACCTGCCTGATTTCTTGGGAACGAGGTTCAGCTATGTCTTTCAGTTTCTTGAGGACGACACCAATATCAGCCACAGAGAACTTAACAGAGGAAAGCAAGACATAGATTAGAAAGACTACGCACTATGTGACCTACTATGCATGAACCAGCAAGAGTTGTCAAGACGCAGGGCAATGCTGAACTGCTAAGTATTATTAGTTTCTTCATTGTCTCACTTCAAATGCATAAGTCAGCACGGTGTTGAGTTTGGAAGGAAGCTTGCTACTGAAAAAAATTGCTTCCTACCAAGAATATAAAAAATTAAACAAAAATCATCAGATCATGCACTCTCAGAAAGCTTATTCCAGCTACATAAAAGGACATCCACTTTTGCTTCAAACATAGTATTGTTAAAGCAGAAGTAGAAACATTTAAAGTACAGTTCTAATAACTTGGTCCTCATTTTGTGTTGGTGCACCTCACTTATTTTCAATTAATAAATTTCACCAAGTTAAAACTATTCTTTTCACCATTGGCTTCAATGAACTGTTCCAATAGATATTCTCATTCATATTAGACTACGTTGTCTTACATACTCAGAATTAGCAGATTGGAAATTTGTTAGGAATAGATTTTTCCTGTCATGTAAGAAGAATGCTTATTTCTTCCTAAATAGGCCATTAAAATAAATTTGAATTTAAACAAACAGAACTGGAGCACTAAGGCTTCCACACTATATTCAGATTGTTGTGTTAGAGCTCTACCATAGATTTATTTGCTATACTCATTTTTAACGTAAAACATCTATGTATTTAGTCATTAAATTGGTGTTGAGTCCAAGTATGAATATCTGATATGTCCTTACATCTGTCATGCTCTACCTAACTTATAAAGCACAACAAACTGTCTGAAAATAGTTTTCTCCCATTTCTTCCAGTAAGCAAAGTTGTTTTAACTAGTAATTACTGGAAATTTGGTATGACTGGTATTAAGGATCTAATGCAACAGAGATTGGGCCTCGCCGTTCAGACTTATGCTGAAGTCTGTCTACAGCTTTGTATCAGTTCAAAGGGATCTAGAAAAGGGTATTTAAAGTCCCTACGACACTGCCAGAGCAGTACAAATTGATCCAAGTTTAGTTAATACATCAGTGGTTGCAGGTAACATGGTCAGATTTAGAGAAGACAATCGCCGCCTATGCCAAAACTCCAGGTATAACCCTGGCCTGTAATGCCACGCAAGGCAGTGGTGTGGAGCAGCTGAACCAGCCACCAAAAAAACTTTTAGACAGAGCGACTTTTTCAGTCCCCTCCCCAAGCTGTTATTGTTTGGGCTGTAAGCACACAGCTTTTTGCTGAAAAAGCAAGGAACCGAGATCGAGAGAAGATTGAGCAGAAGGAATCAATGAGCTGAGTATTTAAAAGATGGACAAAGTGTTCTGTCTATTTAAAAGCCTGTCTTCTCTACATTATCAAAGCAGTTATTTTTACATCTTTTTTCTAAACTACATATTCCAAACACCTACATAGACATCAAGTATCGGAGCAGCATGACAATAACTCTTTACTCGCTTTCCCTCCTTCTCATGTAATTGCCCAACATGCTAGTAGTCACAATCTAGTTTTGTTTGATTGTTTTGCTTAAGTCAGAGGTTATTATGTTGAATTCAATGAAAGTAAAAAAATCAACCTCCGTGTTTGTGCTGCAGAAGACTACAAAGTTTGAGCAATTGAGACTGTTCCAGAGATGATGAATTCATTTCCAAGGAGGCACAGTGATGCCTTGTTTGAAAGAGTCCTCGTCAAACCTGGATAATAACAGTAGGACTGTACGCACTTTCTAAATACATCTTTTTTCCTCAAATTGGAAAAGAAACCAAAAGTGTTGAAAAGTTTTGAGAATTAGATCCTTAAAGTTACTTTCAGTATAGGTGGCAATCACAATTACAAGACACAGTCATTTTTCTCTCCCCATAACTTAAAAATAATACAATAAACACAATTTTGAAACAGAAAACTAAAACTTTCCAAATATCTCATATAGTGTCAAACAAATGCTACAATGATAGCAAAATCAATTCCCACCCGCACTATGATTACCAATCAAAGTTTCATCTAAATCAACATATGCCTATGTAGTAAAAATGGCATTTTCCAGAAGAAAAACATTCCATCTGGATTTTTCACCAGGTTTCAGAAAACATACTGATGTGTTCTGCTAAAAGGAAACCTCTGTCTATTCAGAAGGAAAATTATTTATTTTCTAATTTCAGAAATAACTGACAAATAGTCATCTTAAAATTGTTTCCTCTTCTTCAAAACATCTTCCAGTTCTGCTCTTCTCTAATAATTGCTGAAGTTCTTGTGATTTGAGTATGCAACCCCCTGATGAATCGAGGCAGACAAGGTGTGTCCTTACTTCTGGAGCCCCACTCAATGGATATGAATAAAGCATCTATCATTGGGAGAACAAATCTTTTTTTCTACCAGCTGTTTTAAAATCTTAACTGTGCAAAGAACATTTCAAAACTCACTTTAAAGTACTTTTAGTATTTCTTCTTCCCCTTTTGCAGATTTTATTTTGATAATATACAATCATTCAGTCTGGAAAACTTCAGATCCCACCTGTTTGATCCAAGATAATCAATGCAAACAGCAGTTCCAAAGAACACTTAAAATCTAATGATGCACTCTGCAAGTTGGAAAATAGCTTTGGTTTTGATTCTACTAGGAGGAGAAACAGTCCAGCAGTAAGAAAACATAATGTATATAGCTTTCTATTTTACTGCTTAAAGCATTTAGCAGTCATAACATTTTAAATCTACAAGCATTTTGCAGACCTTCCTCATTATTCCCGGGAAGGCAGGTGGTGCTAACTCCACGTTAATTTACAAAGAAATCACACCATTCTGCTATTTTCATTTGAGTGAGAACAGCACGTGCGGTCCAAAGGCAACACAGGGTCAGGTTGCATCTACCTCTGCCTCATCAGCACAATGGCATCAAGACTCACAGTCCCCATGCCTGCACTAGGCCTACGGGCATCTTGGGAGTCCTGCAGGTTCACGCACTTTGGTGAGCCAGCAGATGGTGAACAATTAAAACTTGCACTAAGAACCTTCTGCCTTCTCCATCCACAAAAGGTCTGGACAAATGGGCAGAGGACCATAAGATGATAAACCCTCCTGGTTGTTTTCCTTAGGTGTGCTCTTAGCAAGCCTACACAAGAGGGCAGCTCTGGAGATGGTCTGCTGAAGGCACAATTCATGCTGCCGCCTCACCGTGAGCTACAAAAGCATAAGTACTACCCCAAAGTCCTCACAGCACAATCTAGTCCCAAGGCTAATGGTCAAGATCACACTGTGATGAAGCAACAACCCAGAAGAGGGATTGGGATGCAGAAATGCCTTGGCTCCCGAGCTGGCTGTCAGAGTGACTGCATCAGAGCTACACGTAACAGGCATTTCCAAGTATACCAGGGTACATTTATTCAAATACTGCAGCACAAACTTCAGTGTAAAAAGAAATAGTAATCCACATTGCTTCCCAAACCAACATAAAATCCTAGAAAACACTGACTCCTCTGTGGCTCTCCACCCCTGTATCCTTTCTTTTTTGACCTCTGTGACAATTACTATAGGACAATCTATTTCCTCCTATTGGATACATTTCTGGCTTTGGCGAACAAGGGTTTCTTTACCAGCCATTTGTGTAATGACCGGTAGCATAAAGCATACATCAGAGGCATCCCAGCCCTCTGTTTATTGTTGTTCTCCTCTCTGAAGGTGACACCAAAAGATAGTGAAACTCAGTACAAACTGTAAGCTTGAACTCCTGACAGTGATATGAATTTCTAATATTGCAAGGCAGATAAATATGTATGAACCCAAAAAATCAAATCGGGGAATAAAATAGCCTCCTTGGTAAGACTCTAAATTGGATGTACCCACATCTTGAGTGCTGTGCACTGTTCCAGTCTCCACATCTCACAGTTGCCTTGTAAGGACAGACTAAAAAGAGCGAGGCTCTTAATTGGATAGGATTAGGCTGAGGGGAAAGAACGTCTGAGGCTTACAAAGTTATGAAGGTGGTGTTTAAGGTGAATGGGGATTTTCCCCAAACCCTGGAACACTAGAACTGGCATTGAAACTAGTGGGAGGTTGGGTTAAAACAGAGAAAATACTTATTTCTTTTATCGTATGTTTTTTTTACACAGCAGGCAGTGAACTGTTCAACTTGCTGCCACAGAAAGCTGTGGAAGCAGACAGTATCCAGATTCAACAAGGGTTAGATCAATTCAGAGACAAGAGGTCCATAAACAGTCTCAAGAAGGAATAGGCAGGGATATACATATACACACACCCTCCTTCTAACAACCCCTAATACAATAAGAGTGAATGCTGAGAAAGTAGAAGGGGAATGGATGGTAAAGAGTGGCAAGGCTTGCAGGCACTCAGTAGCTAGCATCTCCTAAATCCATTGCTAGACAGAGAGCACTGGGCTGCGAACTTTGGGTGAAGAAACTAGGTATAAATAATTCTGAAAAATATATAGATAAGGTACAGTCCTTAAAGATAATAGAAAATAACAAGAGTCTGCTTCACCTCATTTGCATGCTTCTCCATGTAGTTGAACGTGTACTCATCAGCATCCACCAAAAGAAAGTTGTGTCCATGGAAACAAATTCTGGCTCCAACAAACAGATTCTGAGCCTTGAAGTATTCAGATGGCTCACTCTTAAAGAGCTCCTGTCCAGGCTTCTTAATGCGACCTCTTTCCAAGAACTTCCCACCACGTATCCCTATGGGAATAGAATCGTAAATAATTAATTGTGGCTTTTACTTGGTGGGGGGGAACACCACAAAAAACAAAAGACACCCCAAGCCAGCTGGTTTTTATTTAAATATCAGTTTTCATCCCTGAGTTTCTTGTCTCATAATATACTCTCCCCCTCACTCTCATTGCTAAAAGAACTTCCCTGCCAGTGTCCACAGCAACAGTTACATTGTGCGTATTCTGTGACATGTACCACTTGAATGCCTGCCAAACACCTTCCTTTTTTTTTTCCTTTTCTTTAAAACGGGACAGAAATGTGCCTCTTCAAATTGTTCCCATAACCCTGCCGCCAGCCTTGGGACTGACCCTTGAGAAACGTAAGATGCAAAATGTAAGATGCAGGCAATTATCCTTGAACAGTTAAAGCAAAAAAGAAAAAAAAAAATAAAAAAATCACAGCTTAGGACAGCACAGTCCTACAAAGATCACAAATTCCGGTGCACTGTAATTCTAACTCATTCTTAAGGGTTTTCAAATATAAAAAACCCAGTAGGAGTCACATGACACTATCTTCCACATACCGTTCTGCCAATGCAATTTAATTGCGATCTGTTATTTCCTTTGTAGCTGAATATGTCACATTATTTCTTTTCATATTATAATGATTTTATTTGTGCCACGAGAAACTGCATGGGGTGCTCAAGGGTATGTAAGATACTACAAGGAACATTTTGCTTTCCAGTAATATCTTCTGGTGCACCACAAGATCGCATTGCATGTACCAAGCTTTCTAGAAAACATTCTGTCACATGTTTAGTTTCATCAGCATATGTGCCCTACAACTCTGGAGTGCTTGGGGTTTGTTTCCTGTTTATATTTGAGCTTCCAAGCCAAAAGCCAAAAAGCATACTTCAGTAACGTTTAATGACTTCTTACGTATTAGTTAGTGATGCAAGTCCAATAAAAAGCTGATGAACAGTGTAATAAAATGCCTTTTGTAGTCAAAATTATAAATGAATGTGAAACCCAAACTACTTAAACCAGAGTTTGGAGCAGATGTCCGTCTTAATTGCTTTACTAGTATCATAAAAGACAAAAAATACACTATGGTAATGGTCAGATCTAGCTTGAATCAAAAAACAATTCAAATCACTAATGTAACTCTAATCTTAACACATTCCTTTTCACCTAGATATTAAAACAAACATGAAATTTTAGATTATATAATCCTGGCAACTGTTTGTAATATTTAAACAGAACTGATCTCTGTAAGATTGGAACTTCACTCTTGTCTCCATTTCCCTGCAATTGTGCACTTAGACTGGAAACTTACCTTAATACCTCTGTCCCATAATTGTTTTTTAAACGTTACGAGTTAGTACATTTCAAGTGGTATAAAGAAAAACAACCAAGAAAATCTCATTAGGTTAGAGATTTTACACTGAAACCTGATGAGAAATTTTGATGGGAATCTACAAGAGCCAGGCTCACAGCACAAAATAAACACCACAACCAAAGGCCCTCTTCCATTAAGATCAGTTCAGACTTTGCAGGTGTTTGTACAGCTGTTGGCTTGGTCTTAACACTGAGTAAAAAAGGGGTTGTGATCTTCTGCATGGGGAGCCAAAGTTCTCATGCTTTGACCCCCATCTCAACAAGTGCTTCAAGATGTCCAGCCCTGTGCACTTCAAATACAGTTTCACAGTATTCCTAGTAGTGTGAAGTAGTTCTCTGCAACCCTCAGGTTGCTGGACTGAGAAAAGTAAGAATAACTCATTACTTCCATCTTAGGACTGATATTTGAAACTTTTTTACTTCCAATTTTTATCAATTCATGCAAATAAAAAGGCAAAAATAGCCTTTGAACCTGTGCACAAAAGGGACAGTCAGGTTGTTATTTTGGGAGTCATTTACTGTTTTAACCCATCTCCTCTCCAAGATGTGCTCAAACCTATTCTTCTCCCACCCCATCCACTTCAACACTTTTCCTTCTCACACACAAATGTTCTTCTCATTCCCATTTTGCATGCCTTGTTCCTTTTTCCTAGCCCCTCTTACCTGACCTCTGCAAAGCCTTCTCATTCTTAACCTCAAAGAAACCCATTCAGTTTTCCTTCAGACATGAATAAAATGAGGGAGGGATAGAGAGAGAAGAGAAAGGCAGAAGAAAGAAAAGAAGGAAGGTGGGAACAAAGAAACTTCTGCAGTCCCAGGCCTCTTTCCAACTGCTGCTCTGTCCCCCCATCTCTACTTCTTATCCTGCCTCTTCAAGGCTCTTCTCACTAAACTCTCCAACGGCCAGTTCTTAGCCACATCCTTCCACTTCACCTTTCTACCACCTCTGAAAGTCAGCTACTCCATTCACTTTAACATCCCAGGGAAGTTAAAAACCCCTTTACAGATACTTGCCTTTCATATGCGTCTTAAAGCATTTGTTATTGTTGGTATGCAAACTTGCCCATTTATTGTTTCACATTTTGTTTGACTAGTGATGTTCGATGGGCTCCCAGCTGCAATCCCAGCATATAGTCCTATTCCAAAATAAAAGGAAGCCAGGAAGCAATCTCTGGCCTGGCACCCATGCTGTTGAGAGCCTGACCAACTGACCACATCTGCACTACACACTGTGTGGCTCTGGCTTCGCTCTGGGTGCTATGTGATAAGTCTGGGGACTTAAGACACAGCTATTATTTTTCTGTGTTCAAACTGTTTGAGGGTATGTGAGGGCTGTGCTACAGTCCAACAGTGGTGTTTTACAGCATAAAACTGAGGGTATGTATTGCAGCCCCTCAGGCAAAAATTCAGGCACAAAGACCTGAATTTTTGAGTGTGCAGAACATCTTGGGATAGTGTTAGATGACTGATAAGGGTGGAACAAACTAAACCTGGTGCAATTGTGACCTTACTGCCTTGCAGGACAGTTTTTTGGAGTTTAGCACCCTCCAGGAGGGGCCCAGGCTTGCTGGGGCCTTGTCTAATCGGAATGGCCTTGCAGGACAGTTTTTTGGAGTTTAGTATCCTCCAGGAGGGGCCCCAGGCTCGCTGGAGCCTTGTCTAGTCGGAATGGTGCAAAGGAGAACCAGGAGTGATGGAACAGTTAATACATATGATTGGGGTCTAAGAGTCAAACTGCTCCCTGGACTTCCTTAATTTAACAGGGCAACTGTACCTTTAACTTCCTTTATATCTCCAGATGAAGAATGCCAATCAAACATGTCATTCACTAACGGCAAACTGAGCTGCTCTTGAGCCTCAGAGCAGCTTTCCATAATAAAGTGTATGTGTATTTAGCTGTAACAAAAGAAGTTGCATAAATTACAGGCCATTGGATGGCAGGAAACTAGTAAAATAATAATGACAGGACACTGCTGCCATAAGCAGTGCTAAATCTTGATGTTGCAGTGGAGGAGGGCTAACTAGGAATGCCCATTGAAGCCTAGGCAGGTACGCTACATATTTTCAAAACATAGCTCAGAGAATTGCTTGTATTGTAGTTTTTTATGGATGTGCTGTTTATCATAGGTCTGAAGAAGATTAACATCAGAAATCATTTTCAGTAAAGACCTAATCGTAGGGTCACAAGAATACTTAGTCCTTAACTGTAAGCTGAATAACCGGACCTCAGAAAGCCAACTGCTGGCACAAGAGCCTGAAGCAATGGGGAGTGAAGAGTCCTCCCTAGGACAGTCTTTCCTCTAGACAGTGAGCTGGGAGTGCCAAATAGGTCAGTGCCGAGCATGGCGAGCTGGTCACCATCACAGGGCATACCTGAAATACCATCCTAAGGTGCTCTGTGCCAAGAAGCTGGTGGAGGGCAATTCAAGCAGTATCAAAAGAGCTAGTCATGATGTTTCACGAGAGTCTAAGATGGTAACTAAGGAAATTTTCTATTACTCTTTTTCCTCTTGTCTTTGAGAGAATGTTTTCCTGATTTTTTTCTCTCTATGGTTTTATCAGAGGCTGACAGCAGCTTTTAAGAGTCAGTCCTTCAAGTGCACATGCTGAGAGGTACCAGAGCACTTCTGGATGTTAACTGCTCTGAAACTGTTGCTGCAGATGTTTTGTGGGCTTCACAGAAATACACTAATCTCTCCAACATGGTCACGCTTAGCCAAGGCTTCTCTGTCTCCCTGAGTTACAGAATGACTTCCTGACATCCTTCCCAGTGCTGTGTCCTTCCATCCGTGCACAAGACACTCCAAGGAAATAAACAGATGCTTGAAAAAAATCACAAAACCTTTCATATCCTCAGTTGGAGGCAGCATACAACAGACAACAGTAGTCAAGAGAATTAAACCATGACAACATTGGGAGACCATGATCCAACAATAGGATAAATGTGATCAAGCAACTGAGAAGTAACAAAGCATTTGTCACTTAAACACTGGCAGCCTGACTCTTAAAATTCAGTTCAGTTTTATACACACACACGTATAGACGCTAGCACAGGGCAATCTTCACTCTTTATATATTCAAACACTACGTGATTAATGACAAAGTATGTTAAAAAAATCACAGCTGTTTTGCTTTCATGAGCTGCTTCTACACAATGGATGCTATGTAGGTTTCATAACACCATAACACAATCTTGTAAAACAAAGGATTTACTCTTTCATTCTTGATGCCTTACATTTCCTGACCCTATTTATCATCAGTCACAACAATCCCTGTATGTTATCCACAACAAAAGCAAATGTTTAAAGGTCAAATTTGCAAATTAAAATGTAATAAAAGTTCTAATGCACTGAACTTCCAGTTCCCAAAGGATATTGTGAAGCACTGTCTTACAATGAACAGCGTTATTCTGAGTGATGAAGATTACAAATTACTATGACATGCAGCTATATAAGATAATGCAGTAGATCTGCTGATGTAATTCCCATTGCATTTAAAATTCCACATCCCTGTTTCTACTAGTGCTGAGTCTGGCCATAGCGTTTACTGTAAATTCTAGTCAAATGAGCAGGGTAACTAAGACTGATTGTAACCTGTGTTGCAATCTTACCTCTTACCTGTGTTTCGCTGTGTACGTTCAAAAATTGAAATGGTGTCATCACTCAGGAAGTAGGAAATAATGAATTTCCGATCCTTGTCAATAGGACTATCTGTGACGAGTTTTGCAAGAAAGCGCAGTATGTGACTTTCCATGCCACTTCTAAAAAGCAAAAGAAGAGGTAAGAAATCAAAAACAGACTGAGAAAAGTTTTCATCATTAAGAGATGCATCCTCCTGAGTTTTGTAACATACATTAATTGTGTTATTCCTGGACCAAGAAGAGAAATGGTGTAAGATTCCCTACTTTGTCAAAAACTATTTTCAGCTTAAATTAACAGATCCAGCTAGAGTCAGCCAGATAGAAAGGAATCATTTTCAGCGGAAAATTACTTCTCTGCCACAAGTCTGGAATGAATTTGTATTCAAATTCAGTTGCAAATCAAGCTCCAAGTTTCCTTCCAGAAAATTTATAAAGGAAGAACACCTTTAGGTATGTATATTTTCAAATCAAATTCTGAATAGCAATACATACTAGGATTAACCCCACAAAATCAGGCCCACCAGATGATCTTACTAGTTGGGTATTTGTTAAGCGATTGTGTTTTACATGACTTACAGTACTGCTATATGCACCATCAATACATCCCCAAGCCTCTTTCTAACAGCTTTCTTCTTTAATGGAGGTTCTACAGGCGAATCTCTAGCATATGACTTTACTTTCCACTTAGTGTTCAACAACCACTGCCTGACAAACCATTTCACAATGTAAAGGATTAATGCTTTAATATTGCTTTAATTTAACTGCATGAGATTCATCAGACAAAAATGTAAATACCATAATGTCAAACAAAAAAACAAATCAGTGTTGGACTGCTGAAGCATATAAAATTCCTGGTTAATTCCTGGACTAAGACTTCCATCAAATTCCCGCTGAAGACAGCAGAAGGGAAGGAGGTAGGGGATGGGAGGCTCAGAATATTTGCCTTCTCAAAAGAGAAATTTTGCTGAGTTCAGAGAAAATTGGAGTACCATGTCACTAAATCAGTCCTCATACACCTGTCCCTTAAAAGTCTGATGAGGGGCACATTTTGCTGAAAAAAATGACATTCCTACTTAACATTTATCTCCTTCACAAAAAGCCATAATTTAAAAAGTTGGAATTATTTTTCACTGAAATACCTGTCTTTCTCCATGAATTTCTTGAAATCTTTTGAGGGAGGCTTGGGAACCAGGCCCATACAGGAGCACAGAGAATCCTCTTCGGAACCAAATCCAGTATAAGGAGGCAACGTTTTTTCTAGTTTTGGAGGTTGTGGAGCCTTGTGTACAACTGGGGTAAAATCCTCTACAACAAAGATAGCAAGATTTATTTATTACTGTTCTGATGAAGCCATTCTACTCAGGGTTTAAAATTCCAATATGAATACACATTAGCCTATTTCGGTAACAGTGCACCGATCAAAGTCAAACCAAGATTCCTCCTACTGTTACAGGGTGGAAAAGGACTCCATAGAAGCCAACAGTGAAATTATTGTTTCTTCAACGGTTTCAGGATTTCATCTATAATCTTAAAACGTTTGACAAATATAATTAAGACACACGGGCAAAATTAAAGACAAATATAGTTTCAAAATGGGATAAAATAATAAGTTAACAATTCTAAATTAATTTATGAGTTGCCTGCCCTCTGCTTTTTGCCAGAGGAAAATAAATACATAAATAAATAAAAATTTATTCATTATTTGAATCATATATGAGAAGAAATTGGTACATTGAAGCCAATAGCTTCAGTCTGCATCTCACTTTACCCAGAGTTTCGGAAGCTTTGTTTTACCTCATTTTTCCCCATTCTCAAGTCTTTCCTTGCAGTGATCAATGGTCCTGACTATCCCAGCTACACAGCAGGAGCTCTCCTGACTCAGCAGAGAGATCTCTGGTCAGGGACCTCCACTCACTTCCCATAACGGTTGCTCCCAAAAGCCCTGCTGCTCTATGGTCACTCCTTACTCCTCTCTTGGTGAAAATCTTGCTGTACCATTTAGCCCCTTGTTGCTTCCCTGCACTGTTCCTTCACTGCAACACAGCTTCCAGCTGTCCGTGGGGTTCACATAAAACTCCAACAGAGTAATACAGTCTGCTGGTTAAACAACGTTAATGGAAAATGGAAAAGGCGAGGGGAAAAAAGTAACCTGTATATAGGAGAAAGTAAATAGGCAGAGCTGAGGCAAATGCAGTCATAAGTCACAGGAACACAGGATAATTCAGGTTGGACGGGACCTCGGGAGGTCTCTGGCATGGTCTCCTGCTGAGGAGAGGGTCAGCCCCAGGCCAGACCAGGCTGCTCAGGGCTGTGTCCAGTTGGGGCTTGGCACCTCCCAGGATGGAGCCCGCACAGCCTGCCTGGCAGCCTGCCCTGGGGAGGAAAGTTTTTCCTGATATCCAACTCCGAGGCTCTTGTCTCCACTCATGCATGTTGTCTCGTGCCCTCCTGTCGTGTACCCCTGCGAACCGTGCTGCCTGGCCTCAGCAACCTCCCCATGGGTGGGTGCAGGCGGCTGCTCAGGGCTCTTCCCGGGCTGAGCAAGTCCTCTTCCCCGGGTGTTCCTCAGCCCTGACCATCCTGGGGCCTCCTCTGAACTTGCCCTGGCTGGTCCATGTCTTTCCTGTCCTGGCGGACCCAAAATGGGACACAGGACCTTGATGAGGTCTAACAAGCGCTGAGCAAAGGGAGATAGTCACTTCCCTTGATTTTTGGGTAGCCCAGGCTGCGGCTGGCCCTCTTTGCCATGGCCCCAAGCCCAGCTTGCTGCCCCCCACAACCCGCAGAGCCCTTCCCGTAACAACACGGGTGCAATAAGGCGGTCGGCACTGCCCACGCGGAGCGGCATCACCTCCACACCTGGGTGGGCTGGAGACGCTGCCCTGAGGAAGGGAGAGCTGACTGGGCTGGTAAGTGAAAGGCAAATACGTGAGGCAAACTGGAAGAAGATGGATCTCAAACCACAGCCAGCGATGCAAAGAGTGATACAAGTCACCAGTGTATAAAACTGGATCCCATGAAATAAAGCCTTTTTTTTTTTTTCTTTCTTTGAAACTTCACTTTTCTACCCAGAACTGAGGAGAGATGAATAACCTAAACTTGTAGCACAGGTTTCTGTGCAAACACAGGAGAATGACAGAACTGCTGTCACTTGGAACACTTTCTGAATTGATTTGTGATGAAGATATTTTAAACACGGCTGTATCAGAAGACCAAAGCAACATACTCTTTTAATCTGACTTGCCTAACAGCAATATGAAGTTGAAAAATACAGAAAGCATTCAGATGTCAGTTTTCCTTAACTTGAAAACACAATAAGATCTCCTTTGGCCTTTACCTCTTAAAAGAATATGGTCTGACTGGAAAAGCCAACACCTTCACCTGAATCACTCAAAAAGGCATGGTTTTGCAAAACCATACCAACATTTTTCTCCATAAAAACGACCCGTGCCCTTTCTGTGATTCAGAAGTACACAGGCCAAGCCCAGATGCCAAAGAAAGTCCACTCAGAGACTTTCAAAGCCTTCTTCACCACGGAAGAGTACATGCGCGTGTAAACATGCCCCAAAATACTGTTTTCTAAATACTGTTTGTGACAAAACTGCCTTGGGAGACATTTTCAGCGTGTCATACAACTTGTACATGCGATTCTTGCTACAATAAACACGGAGTATGCAAATCGACAGATCTGGTGACAGAAAGAAACCCCCAATACCACAAGCACTGAGTAGGGAATGAACTGCGGGTGTCATATCGCGGGTGTCGTATCGCGGGT